TGGTGGCACATGCCTTTAATCCCAGCACCCAGGAGGCAGAAGCAGGCGGATCTCTGTGAGTTCAAGGCCAGCCTGGTCTACATAGTGAGCTCCAGGACAGCTGGGGCTACAGGGAGACCCTGTCTCAAAAAAGAAAAAAAAAAAAAAAATTAATTAAAAAAAATAAATAAAAATAGGGTATGGAGAGATGGCTCCGCAGTTAAGAGTACTTGCTGCTCTTGCAGAGGACCTGAGTTTGCTTCCCAGAACCCATGTTCGGCAGCACACAACTGCCTGAAAATCCAAATCTAGGGGATCTAAGCCCTCTTCTGGCCTTCACGGGCACCTGCATACTGAGGGAGGGAGGAAGGGAATAAGGGAAGAAAAGATCTATAACTGACAACCACCTCAGAAAAGTAATTTTTAAAAATTAGTTTTAAAAAAAAATATTTTATTATTTTTATGTGTAGGAATGCATTGCCTGCACCCGTGTTGTGCAATGCAAGTTACGGGTGGTTGTTAGCCGTCAAGCGGATGCAAAGAATGAAACCTAGTTCTTCTGCAAGAGCTGCCAGTGCTCTTAACCACTGAGCCATCTCTCCAGCTCCCGAAAAGTAATTTCTTAGCTCTTTTTTGGAGCAAAACTCCTTTAAGAAGGTCCAGTGACATGGCTCAGCAGGTAAAGGCACTTGTTACTAAGCCTGTCAACCTGAGTTCCATCTCCAGGACCTCACACAGTGGAAGAGAACCAATTTCTACAAGTTGTACTGTGACCTCTACACATGTATGCACCCCCCCAACACAAAATAGATAAATTATTAAAAAAAAACTTCCCAGGTGTGGTGGTATATACCTTTAATCCCAGTACCTGGGATGCAGAGGCAGATGGATCTCTGTGAGACAGAGGCCAGCCTGGTCTACATAGTAAGCTCCAAAGCAGCTGGGGCTATAAAGAGACCCTGTCTCAAAATACAAAAACAACAGCATTAAAAAATAGGCTTATTAAAAAATAAGTTTATTCTTGGGGCTGGGGAAATGGCTCAGTAGTTAAGAGCACTTAGTGTTCTTGTAAAGAATCCAGTTTGGTTTTGGTACCTATATGACAAGACAGTTCACAGTTGTGAACCTACAACTCTGGTTCCAAGGAATCCGATGCCCTCTGGTCTCTGTGGGTAACTGCATGCACAAAGGGCACATCAACTCATGCAAGTATACACACATACACATAAATAAAATACATAAACTTCTGGGCTGGGGAGATAGCTCAGCAGTTAAGAGCACGGGTTGCTCTTGCAGAGGACCTGGGTTTCATTCCTAGCACCCGCATGACGTCTAGCAACTGCCTGTAAATGTCTGTAACTGTCCATAACCATCCAGGGAATCCAACACCCTCCTCTGACTCGGTGGGCATTGCATGATCCAGGTGCACTTACACACATGCAGGCAATACACTCATACACATAAAATAAAAATAAATAAAATGTTAAAAAATTGTAAGAAAATAAAAAATAAACTTCTTGAGGAAGCTCTTTATTCATTCAGGAGTTGTCAATGAGTTTATTTTTTCCTTTCTATGCTTTCTTGGTTCAATTGGTTTTCATCCCTATATTCACTGCAATAGTTCTTGTCATGGCATTCGATGAACTTGTTGCCAAATACAGACTATTGTAGTCTGTAGTAGTTATAAAGTTATCACATACAATAAATTAGCAAATAATGAACTACTGTTTCTACAGAAATACAGAGGTCTTGCAAGCCTCTGAACACATTTTCTTCCACTGATCAAGCAAGGTTACATAATCTTGTTTTAAGTGTGTTTCTGATTAAAGATACCTAAACTGATATATACTGCTAATTCATTAACACTGAACCTGCAGTTGATAGCATTATTAACCCATGCCTAAATGAAACATGTTTTTTTCCATAAGGCCCATCATAACCTTCTTGCACTTAGAATGCAAACTAGCACCATCACCAGCAGCACAAAATGCATTGGCAAAATAGCAAAAAGGACAACTGTGTAAAGTACGAAGAGTTGAAACATGAGTCCCCATCCACTGACCTACTGCTGACTATACTCACCTGTCAGTATAATCTTATCTACTCCCATTACTTATACTTATCTGAAATAGATACTGTGCCATAGTTCTTGCATGCTCTGCTTGATCTCAAGTTAACGGACTCTTCAGCTATATCAAGTTTACTAAACCCAAACACAACTTAATCTATGTCATCATTTTTAGCTCTAGCATTTTGATGTGACAAGCAGTTTTCTCTACTGAAATTCCCCTGCTGTCCATGCACGCTCTCTACCTCAAGCTGTCCTTTGACCTGCACATGCACACAGTACAGTGGCATGAATGCTATCCCCACCATATACAAAATAAAATAAATAAATGCAGCTGATAGTCAGGCATGGACACACACACCTGTAACCCCAGCAGGTGACTCCCAGGTGGAGGTAGAAAGGAATTCAAGGCCATCTGGGCTACGTGAGATCTTATCTTAGAAACCAAAAAAAAAAAAACAAAAAAACACAAAAACACAGGAGGCACTAGAGAGATTGCTCAGAGGTTAAGAGACTGCACTGCTCTTACAGAGGACCTGAGTTTGATTCCTAGCACCTCTGTCGGGCGGCTCATAGTAGCCTATCACTCCAGTATTACACTCACATGTACAAACCCACACAAAGACACACATATATACATAATTTAAAAAGTCATAAAATGTTTTTTAAAAATAAACCAAAAGAGACTTCAACAACATAAGTCAAGGATGCAGCACACAGACCAAATGAAGCAGTACCCTCCTACCCCACTTCCAACAAGGAACCATTTGGGAAATTAGAGTGAACCCAGCTCCCAATCCTGCCCAGTAAGTTTGCCTTATTCATAGGTTTGTAACTGATCAAGAGGGTATAAGTAGTTTATTCCTAAAGCATCTCAGACCTGTTTGCTGACTCTTCTGAAACAGCCCTGCTCCTGGGGAAGATTTTTCCTAAAGATTCTATACAAAGTAAGAGTACTGTAAAACCACTTGTTCAGTGGAGATCACTATTCCCAGCTAGAGGAAGTGGACTTAGGAGAATCCCGTGGCTACACACTGAGGGTGCCGGCTCCCAGGGCCTGAAGATAAGACCAAACTGAGGTGAAAAATTGTCTACATAATGAGAAAAAATCTTGATCAGATGGATGTACCTTACATTTACAAATCACAGGGACACTCCATTGAAGATCTCAGGCTATAACAGTTTCCTGACACAGCTTCATAACCAACCAGTATTTGTTTGACTTCGCAGGCACTGATGGCGTAAGTACTCTCTGCCTGGCCTACTAATACTCTGCTAATAGTGACAAAGCCCTCTTCCCAGAACTTTTGGAAGCTTCACCTGCCACTGCCACCCACCTCCAGAGAGCCACACATCCATCCTCACCATCTTGATACACTTCTTAGTTTGATGATCTTTCTGGACAAAACTCACCTTTATCAAAGTGCATATGCTTAGTTCCAGCAGTATCATTTGAAATGAAGAGTACCGGATCTGGTGGTACTTTCCAAAAGTGTCTGAACCAGTAAGTTTGTTTTTCTCAAACAGTGTAAGAACAGAGGTAAGGAAAATGGGGAGAATGCCATCTTCCGAAATGGCTCCCTTTTCAGGACACTATTTTTCCTTATGTTGTGAAGGCCACAATGAAGGGTTTGATTTACTTAGGATCAGTCCATCTTTTGTTCAGTGAAGAGCTGATGAGAATATTTTAGGTGGAGTTTGATTACAAGATTCAGTGACATCAACCCTCCAAAACAGGTGAAAACACTGTATGGTGCAGAACATCAGCTGTTCCAGCTGTTCCAGTCTTTGTTCCTCCTGCCTCGAATTTTAGCTTTTCCACTTACCCTACAATATTTATTTCTTTCCTCCTTAAGTAACAACTTCCAATAAATCTCCCTCTAACCTCAAAAAATGAATAAATAAACCAAAAGAAAAAAAAGTGTGATCAAATTATTCTTTCCCCCGATATGGCAGCTCTACCTCCTGTCCGTGCTATACCACAGGTGAGCCATTCCCATCTTGAACTGCTTGGGTCCTCCCAAAAGAGTTAATTATTACAGATATAACTTATTTTGTTACAGGGACAACATTCTTTTTGACTTTCAAGTTGCCCCATGATTTTAAATATCACCTATGTATGTATATATGTATGTAGTTTTTTCTGTCTTTGTTTGTTTGGGGGGGGGGCGTTTTTTGGTCTTTTTAAGACAATGTCTCCCTGTAGCACCTGCTGGCCTGGAACTCACTATGGAGACCAGGCTGACCTTGAACTCACAGATCTGCCAGCCTCCACCTACAGGATTAAAGACATGCACCACTCCGCCCAGCCCACCTATGTATTTGTAACTCCTAAATTTACATTCCTAGACTGCATTATGCATGCCTACCAATTTAAATTCTCTAATGAATATGCCTGTTTTCCAGATCAGCAAACACACTTCCTATATCCACGATTAATTTGTTGAAATGAGAATGGTTTAAGCTGAGTATGAAGACACATGCCTGTTATTCCAGTACTGTAATTCTAGTACTCTGGAGCAAGAATTCCAGGCCAACCTGGGCTACATGGTGAAACCCAATCTCAAAAACAAAACCCAAGTAATTTTTCTTAGGTACAACAAAATTTCTCAGAAAAAAAAAAAACTAACTGTGCAGCATATAAAATCTATTTTCTATTGTTAAAATCAGTAAAAGAAAGAAAAACCAGCTGGCTATGATGGCACATACCTGCAATCCCAGCACTTGGGCAAAAGGCAGAAGAATCACAAGCTGGAAGTCATTAGGCTATATAGGGAAACCCTGTGGCTTCCACTGTCCCCGCCCCCTAAATGTGAAAGCACTTTCCTTATATTTCAGAATTTAAGTCTCTATTTGCTTGGTTCTTTTTCTGAACATTAACAGCAAAGTGATCTAAAACAACAGATTAATCTGAGCACACTGCTAGCCAGCTCAATATTCTGAGTTGCCTTACCTGTTGGGTTATATGAGAAATATGAGTTCCCTGAACTGTTGAACCAGGTCGAGGTGCAGTCTCTGAATTGTTACTCTTATGGGATTCTTCCATAATCAGCTATAAGAAAAAAGACAGTTAAAAAGTGCCATAGAATATTGGAAAATATTACATAGTCATGTAAAATTTGATCATTTGGTGGTCTTTATTGAAAGGGAACTGGAGGCTATGGTTTAAGAAATAGAGACTAGCCAGACGTGGTGGCGCACACCTTTAATCCCACCACTCAGGAGGCAGAGACTGGTGATCTTGCTGAGCTCAAGGCCAGCCTGGTCTACATAGTGCCAGGCCAAATGGGGCTACAG